TCCAACTTGCACCGTGGATATAGAGATTTGTTCCAGATGATCTTATCTGACACCTGCTCTGGCAGACTATTGTGTCATTCGTTGTTTTCCTAGCCATGTCTACGTGGTTGCATTCCACCCCCGGCTGCTAGATACGGTCGATCCCATACGGCATAACGACGTGAGCTATTCCCCAGTCCGATGGGATTATCGTCCGTGTTATCCCTGCATCCCTATTTGCCTCGAGACACACTACTCCCATAATTCTACGCGGGGTAAAGCGAACCAATAGCGTTGGGTTGTTGAACCCATTAAAGGAGCCGAATCAACTACGCTCGCAGACGGTATTTTGTGATCCAGTTGTACGTTCGCAATTGAGATTATTTCCTTCATTACTGTGCCCTGTGAAGACCCGGTTGTTTTGGGACTGAACGGGTACGGTTTAGTACCGCAGTTAACGTCTCGGCTTCCTTTCTTGTTCGAACCCGGGATTTTTTACTAGTCACTCGAGGCCTAAGCGCATCTGTCGCTTAAACATTCCTTGTGGGGGAAAGTGCGAATAGGTTTCATTTGCTTTTAAGGCGCGGTGAATAAACAAGTACAACAACAACAACAACAACAACAACAACAACAACAACAACAACAACAACAACAACAACAACAACAACAACAACAACAGTACACAAGCCATGTGAGCTGATGCTTCGCTGCCATACAACCATGATAACCTATGAAACAAAGACTAATAAGAAGGGAATAACTGTCCTAAGCAAACATTTAGAGTCCAGGCGCTTACACCTTGACTCAACAATGTACCATCGCAAACAGCTGGGTAACTTGCAAAGCTAAGGCGTCATCAGCGAGATGGCTTCCTTGCGACTTTAACTGCCCGGCGTCATAACCAGTCATTAGCCCGCAAATAACAGCACCAAATACAATTTAAAAGGGCAATTTGATTAGGCGACGACAGCAGGCGCGCCACTGGTGTCGACTGCGAGTCACATCCTGTAAAGTCTCGAGCCAAGCACAAGGCGGGTCACGTGGTCTCCAGCCCGGAAGACGAGACGGACTAACGGCACCCAGTTTCATCGAAAGTGACTACATTTCCCGTGGCCAAATTAAGTTTTGTCAGTCCTGGGCCTTTCAGCACCCTATATCTGGCAGACTAAACATGCTCCTCCTACGTAAGCGGTGACAAGGCATACGTGTCACGTGCCCGAGTCAACGCAAATTATTCAGTGCTATCTGTTGTTCTAAAGAATTAGCTTGGTTATCACTGCTTAGTATTCGTCTACGCACATCATCGTTGCGAACACGCTGGTGACAATCCAACACCAGCAATGTTCATCAGACAACGATGATCAAAGGCTTGAAGGCTCCTCAGACCATCAGACCAAAAGGGCCAACTCTCACTCCCATAGAGTAGGAAGGCTTTCACTATGGATTTGTAAACACGTCCTTACAGTAGAAGGGAAACTCTCTTTTGTAGACAAAAATGTCCCAGGTACAAGAGGGCAGCTCTGCCTTTTGCATTGCGTGAAATGACTTAGTTTGTATGCGCCCATGGTTGCTGAGGCGGCTGCCAATGTAGGTGAAGTGATCAACTATCTCTAGTTCCTCGCTATCTAGGGCCGAGGGGTCTTCAAATGGCTGGTGGTCCTGCAGTAACACTGCGTACTTTGAAGACGCGAAGCGCATCCCAAATAATGGGATCACGCTAGAGAGGATATTCAGGGTTGATTGGGCAACGTCAACAAGCAAGACAAGATCGTCCGGACAATCAAGATCAACTAACTTTTTACCAGGCAGAACTTCAACGCCTGCATCGTGAGATTCCGCAAAGGAACACTCATGATGAAGTCCACGACGAAACTGAACAAAATTGGGAAATTCGGACCACGCAGAAAAACACACTTTGTTGTCGGGAAGCTAACCGGCAGGTCATGGTTGACCCTGACGCGGCCGGTGGTGTTCGATTTTAGAGGAGGTAATATGTTCACAAATTTCATGGGGACCTCTTTCCGAGCAAGTATTTCGAACAGCATCATCGACCTACTGAATCGAACGCAGTCTTGAGGTCGAAGGACACAGATATTTTCGGTCAGCTGTATGCGTGGTGCTGCTCTAACACCCGCCGCAGAGTGAACATATGGTCTATACAGTCACGCCTTGGGCGGAAACTGGACTGCTCTTCCCTAATCCGAGATTCCCACTCCCCAGTCAGGCGACAAACGAAGTCGGAGGCCAGTACTTTTCACAACTGACGTTAGGCTAATACCCATGTGGTTAACATAGTCTGTGCGACTACCCTTCTCCAAACTGTGCCACTATAATCGATTCGCCCCAGCTATCCGGGACATCCTCTTCTTTTCCGTGCGTGTTTGCCAAGCCTGGAATGCTCTCCCAGAATCTGTAGTCAGTGCACCCAACCTGATCGAGTTCAAAAATCGAGTTGATAGTGCACTCACTTCATTGCACTATCTCCCAGAGTACAGTCTAATTTTGAGAGATCCAAAATCCATACTCTAAAAATAATTTTCCCCCACGCAAATTTCAACAGTGGATATTTTGACACATCAAACTCAAACACTTTGCCCCATGCGAATTTCAAGGGGCAGTGACTCTTTTAACCAAATACTCCATGCCTCATGATCCCCTCCGGAGTTATAGTGGATTATTATTTTGACATTTCAAACTCGGTGAGTCCACAAGCTTGTAGTGACTCGTTGTTAAACGATTTTACTGAATTGGTTTCCATTGAATTTTTCACACTTCTATGATTTCCGCACCGATCACCATACGGGATTTGTCAAGCTTTAGCTTTTATACCCGCATAAATCCATTGTTCCATTGTTCCATTGTTCTATAGTTGTGTTCGCATAGGGAGGTCAGTGCTTTGCAAAGGACTTCACCTCTATCTTTAAATAGTCAGCTGGGGGGGGGGAATCCGGGCCAGCGGCACGAAAACGATTAAGGGTTGTGAACGCAATTCGGACCTCAGCCTACGTTGTAGCCACTAAATCAGGGGCGTCCAACGTCCGGCCCGAGGGCCAAATGCTCGCGTTAACATTTTAACTAACCCGCAGCCTCATCATGGAATAATTAATTCAGACCTGGATCATTTTCATGCATATGTACTTTTTGTTATGACATCGTTAGACTGACTATGGACTGACATATTCTTACCTGACAAAATGTGGGCCTCTTTGAAAAAAATTTGGACACCCCTGCTCTAAGCTAACCGCCCGTGCCTCGTCCTGCGTCACTTGAGAATACAATTCCATTCTCGGAAAGAAGATCAAACGGATGTCACTGGTATGCTGGTAACGCTCGCCTGCATGAAATTTTCATACTTCAAGCTGGGGCATTTAGGGCTAAACCCGCCACGCACTGGTAACTCCCAGACACAAACAATGTATGAGTCTAGCCTTAGGCAACCTTACTAGTTTTTATATATTTGCCCATCTTATACATGACGGAGATGTGAACATCGAGGATTCAGTTCGTACGGGGAAGAGTACCGTATAAAAAGTGATATGCCTTTAATGTATTGCAGAATGACGTTAGCAAACACTGAGATGTAATCCACCCGGGCATGTGGTCAGTACTGCTGCACAAGTAGCCCCAAGTGCATATCACTGCTCTGCTGATAAACACAAACATGGTGGCAACATTCGGAGCATTTGTTTAAAGCAGTCGAGGAGAGTGGTTGGGTTTTATTATGGGGACCCAACGTCCTCACAATCATTCCTAGCTTAAACCACGGAAGGCAATATAACTCTATTAAGACAAGTACACATGTTTCGATCAGCCATCCGACTCGTGAGACATTCAAGTTTCGATTGGCCTTTGTACCTCAGAAAAATTCCTGTTTCCGACCAACATCCGCAATCATAAAACATTCAGCCATTTTACCTAAGAAACATTCAGTTTTCCAGTCCAGCCTCCGCATCTACAAATATTCACTTTTCAACGTTCCGTTGGCATTTTTGCATAGTGCCAATTCAGTTGCTTCCAGGGTTTGCTTATGCAAACCATTGGTACCATCGAGGTATACAAGAAACCTTGGACTGCGTTGTAATCGCCTTGAGTCTGGCCAGTAAAAGTGCCTACGCGAAAGGTTTATATTTTTGTCTTGTTCTCTCGGGTTTGGGTAGCTGCGTGTGAAATTGCGTACGGTCTAGGAGGGAGTTCAACTCGCGCGTAGTACCCGTGTTGCGCCTATGCTTCACAGGTCGTATAACTTCGAATTTTGTTGGTTACTTTGTCGTGCACGAATAGACTTCCAAGTCACATTCGTTCGTCTGATTAGGAGGGTTGATACCAGATCGTCAGTGTTGTAACGCTGCCCTTTGCCTCTGTCTCTCTGCGCTACCAACCAGCCGGGGAAAACAAAACGCAGAGCCTGCTAGACCGAAGTATATTAGACACAGAACATGGCTACTTTTATAGATTACATGCGCTTACCTCGCTGAGGTGACTCACATCTGCTGTCTGGCTGCGTCAGCTTCCGGTTTGACCATGACAATTAATCTGTCAGCCGCTCACGTGATCTGGCCGATCTCGCCCCGCTAGTGTGCACCATCGTAGTCAGCTGTTTGGCCTCCGTGACAGTCAGAGCCTGGCCTAACCAAAAGGCAGTTATAAAAGGTTTACTACTAAAACACATGTGACAAGTGAACAAATGGGTGGTGTTTCCTTCTGTGAGTGATACGTTGCCGAGCACTATGGTTTCAACGCCGCCCACCTGCACTCATTTGCTGTGAAAAGCTTACCCATATCATGTAGGGATAAATAACAGTTGTCCATAGCCGTGGCAGATGCTGTTTATCAGGTTGCCGTCTTTCCAATTCATACCACTTGATACTTCGGAGTAGTGCTTTCCTTGCATTGATATTTCCTGCATCCATCGGTAAATTGATAAAGCTCTGTACTTATTTCTTATCGTTCGTTGATTCCCATTATTTATATGATAAAGCACAAAATTCTTCTACGTTCTTTTTCATACCCTTCACATGCAGTTCTGTAGATCCTCAAGAACTCTTCCGTCGACCACACGCAAATCAAGGATTCCCATACATATCCCGTCGGCATAGACGTTGTCAAAGCCTGGATCAATCCACCGCTCTAGTCCATTACACACCCGACCCCCGTCCACTTTTCAACACGGATAATTTCTCTCGTACAATGCATAATAGGTTGTGGATGCCAAGCCTGGACGATTCAAGCATGTCGGCTTTCCGCACTACCGATCCCATTTCGTCAGATCTACTTGGTCGACAAGTGGAGCCTCTGGGCTCTATGTTGCATCGCGGAGGACGTATTAAACTCGGAATGTCATATCTGAGTTAAAAAAGCACTATACCTGGACCTGACAGCAAACTTGGAAATAATATACATGACATGGTCACAAGCAGTGCAAGTCAAGGATTATGTGAAATGCAATTTCGCTACCACTCGACAAATTTCTGACACGTGACCTTCACTTTTAACGCTCGAAGTGTTCGTATAGCATCAACATGCTCGCAGTACTTTTCTTTTTCTGCAGCTGCTGTGCCGAAAGGGACATAATTCTAGGGCGTATGCGGGGTGGAATTCTGAAAATAAAGGCGCTTCGATCGACAATGAGGATAGTTAGACAGATTCTGCTTTAATGGCAGAAACGGCTAACAGCAGCCAGTTACAAGGTGATAGATCTTACATCGTTGCTGAAATTAGATGATAGACCATCTACGCACCTCAGGCATGGACTCGATTTAGTGATCATGTAATTATGAGTTGTGCCCCGTTATTTTCTAGGCACCAGGAAAAGACGTCACAGAAATCATTTTTCCGTGTCCGGCGTTTGAGATTGATCCTTTTTTATGTGTTTTGTCATTTTTAAATGTTACTTATACCTAGAGAGAAAGTACTGAATAGAAAAAGTTCACTGAATTGTTTACACATACATTTCCCATACCGTACCGATCCCGACTCAACTGGCTACTGTGGGCAATGCTTTCTATCGCTGAAAAGCGTGTGTTCCGTTCCGATTAAAAGAATCTAAACAACTACAGTACGTCATATAACAACTGTGAAGATAATGAATCTCATTTTCCGGCCATGTGTCGATTACTCCACTGGTCTGAATGATATTTTAGAAAACCATCATCCGCTGCCATTACCAGAGGACATTTTGCAAAGAGTGACAGCGGCACACGTGTCGCTCAACTCGAATCATTTAGGGTTTCTACACCGGATAATTTGGCAGTGGAATCCAAAAATGCGCTGTCTACATCCACCATAGTTTGTCCCAATGCACCTGCTTGCCGCTTGGAGTGAAGTCTGCGCAAGCCAATTTTCAACAGAATATGAGCGTCATGCTCAGTGAGTTGGAAGTGGTGCGCGCATACTTCAATCACACAACTATCGTAGGAAGAACAAGAACAGAACTGTACCTTCGTGTAAGCGTGTTAAACGAGTTCGCGCATGACAGTCGATCACAGCTACATCATTCACATTCGTAACTGTCCTGTCACGTGAGTGTGTTGGGCGCACGCACTGTAGTCGTTCAGAGGTAGACCGTTGAGCATTCATGACTATGTGCTTTCAACTGGTTGGCTGGTTAAACTATTGATCTTTGTGCATTGCGATTACTCCGGTACGTCAGTTTTTCAATACAGTTCGTCCTTGGGCAGTGTGTTCTTTTTACCCGTTTGTGGTGGGTTGCGAGCAGACAGACGTCATAATAGACTGGCGACGGCATTATAGTTGCAAACATGAAGGTCCCTTTGGAATTGCTTCAAGAAATGCTGTCCAGGCAGCAAACACAGTTTGACGCGCCACAATGGGTAATTGGAACACTGACAACTCGAAAGTCGTTACAGTCAACATCTACGAATTCAGCGGTTTCCACTGCAGACAAGCTGGCACACATTATGGTAGAATTTCGTTACCAGCCGGACGAGGACCTCACTTTCGAAGCATGGTTTCGCCGCTATGAAGGTGTGTTAAACTTGATGGGCGTGAGCTAGGCGATGCAGCTGAGGTGCGTCTTCTTTTGAGAAAATTGGGTCCACAAGAGTATGCAAGTACTCTAAGTATATTCTACCAAAGAACCAACGCAATATATGATTGGACGACACTGTGAAACACTTGACCAGAATTTTCGGCCCTAAAACTTCACGTTTATGATGTTTACAAGTTGCTAAACACTAGGGGGAGAATTTTGTGACTTCTGAAGTTATTGTTAACGGAGGCTGTGAAAGTTTTCAGATTAGCACACTCCCAAGTCATCAGTTTATAGCGCTCATTAATGTTTGTAGATTACGTTTACAAAAGTTTGCGGAGATTCGAACACGTTTGTTATCTCGGGTAAAGTCTAATCCAAAAGTTATACCACGCGAGCTACTGCAGGAATGTCAACATATGTTGACACTGCAACATGAAACAGAAATGGTCCGATGTCACACCGAATCTTGTTTGGTGGCGCTTCATAATAGTCCTACACGCCTCAAGCCGTCGCACAATTCAGCACGTCTCTCCGACTTCGTCCGCCGAGGCCTTCCGCCTAATGCATGTTGGCATTGTGGTCAGTGGCATTTCGCTCGATTTTGTGAATCCAGACGAGATATTTGCAAACGTTATGGGAATATAGGACATAAGGGAACCAGATGTTTGCAGGGAGCCTCTAGAAGACCGTCATGAAACCTCGCCAATACTCCAATTATCAGCGTTGAGTTTCAAATGTGGTGTTTGAAATCACTAAGCCGAAACATCAGTCACTGCGAAGTATGTTACGATTGTGATAAACGATGTTTCTGTTCGGCTTCCACTGGACACAGCTTCTGATATTACCATAATCTCTGAGTCGAAATGGAGCAAGCTCATTAAACCCGCATGTGTCCAAACTTCACACGTCGTTCACGACGTGTGCGACTTACTCAGCGTGAGCCGCTCCTATTGTAGTCATCAGAATGGCTAATTGCAGTTTGTGTATTTGTGCTGACTTTTCTACTGGATTAAATAACGCATTAGAAGCACATCAATGCCTGTGACCTGTTCCCGAGAATTTATTCACACAGCTTAATGGAGGAAAAATCGTTGTTAAAATTGATCTTCCTTATGCATATTTGTAAGTAGTAGTCGAGGAGCACCCAAAAGAATTGCTCACTATTAATACTCATCCAGGCCTGTACCGTTACAATCGGTTACCTTCCGGAGTAAACTGTGCTCCAGTGATCTTTCAACGAGTGATGGACTCTATGCTATCCGGATTACAGTGTGCCAAGGCTTATTTGGATGGCATAACAAGTATAAGCTCGGCCACTTAAGATCATCATACCCACGTGAACAGTATTCACCAGGATATAATCATATGGATTGAGTCTACCTCCAGAGAACTGCGAGCTCATGATGCTTAGTATCACATACCTTGGCTCCGTTATAGACAGTTATAGACAGATCGAAACAAAATATAAGCTCAGCAAGTCAGTGCCACACCCTAAGAACAAATATACTTTGAAGTCCTTTAGGGTCTACTTAACTACCAGCACAACTTTGTCCCTCAGATGGACGAACTCAGGGCCCCACTAAATTCCCTTTTGGCAAATGAGTCAGCGGGGCATTTGTCCTCGCAGCGTCAGAAAGCCTTTGATGACATTAAACAAATATTGTCCACCAATCTTCTTTTAACTCATTACTACCCAGGATTACCAATAATTATCGCTGCTGATGTATCGCAAAACTGTATTGGTGCTGCCTTGTTGGACCAGTTCCCAAATAGACATCGAAAGTTTGTGATGCATGTTTCCCGCGCTTTAACAGAAACAGAAAAGAACTACAAACAACTAAAGAAAGATGAACTAGCTCAAGTTTTTGCGGTTAAGAAATTTCATAAGAAGGTATATGGACGCAAATTTACTTCGCACTATTTTCGGCACCAAACGAGGAATCGCCTTTCACACAGCGAACAGATTATAGCGTTGGGCAACCAACTTATTAGCGTACGATTTCGATTTGTTTTTTAAAGGACCTCTTCCCTTGGTCATACTGACACATTATCCAGGCTGAGTGCCGAGTACACATCCAGGACACCGGATGAAGACACTGTTGTGTACAGCATTACCTTAGATCCCGAGATTAGACAAGTATTTCAAACATCTGTACATCAACTTACAGTAACAGCAGCTGCAGTTAGAATAGAAGCAGCAAGAGATCCCCTGTTACAACGTATTATGGTCTATATTAGTACTGATTGGCCTGCAGGCCCCTTGGACATCCGTGGTGAGCAGTTTCGTAATCGGTTCTACAGAAGAAGGTTCTCAGCCAGTTCCACGAAGGTCATCCGGGAATCACTCGTATGAAATCCTTAGCCCGCAGCTATACCTACTGGCCATTCATGGACCAGCATATTGAAAATCTTGTTCGTTCATGTGACAGCTGTGCTATGGCAACACAACTACCTGTCAATTGTGTGCTTTATTTTTGTCAAACTCCGAGTGGACCATGGTTTGGCATTCTTATTGATTTTACCGGACCCTTGGAGGGTTTCCACTATCTGGTAATTGTCGATGCGTACTCAAAGTGGCCCGAAATTTTTCAAATGACTTGCGCAACCACTTCCGCTGCTTTGCTACACCTATGCCATTTTATCTCATCATGCGATGTTCCGGACACGATTGTTTCGGACAATGGTTCCCAATTTACTTCTCAAGAGTTTGCCGACTTTTGCAACTTACATAACATCGAACTCATGCACTCCAGCGTACCATCCACAGTCAAACGGGCAGGCTGAACGTTTTGTTGATAGGTTTAAGCGAGCATTGATTAAAATGGAGGAAGAGGGGAGGATGCAGGAAATCATCGACTCCAGACTTGCCTTCACATCGTGCTATTTCAAGCCGTTCAAAGTAGGCTGGTCGATATCTGAACGGATTTTAATATGACCGTCAAAGTGTTATCGCCAGATCTGCATTCTGTCTACAGTCTTTGTGCAGGCAGTATATGAGCTAACATCGATCAATCTCATCAGTGGCCCCATCCTCGGTCCATACACCGCCTTCAAGAAGTCAAAGAATTATTGTGTTAGCGTAGCATTCCATCTGATTCACCTTTGCCGTCCACCATGCGTTTTTAATACGACGGAGCTCTCGCATCAGTTGCCGTGGAATTCTGCGCAACTCACTATTCTTCTTCAAGTCACTGGGGTCTGCCACGTGTGCAGCAAATGATGCATTCTTCTTCGACACCAATGCGCCAATCATCGCATTGTTCTCATCAAACCAATCACGCCGCTTACAGTTTGCGAGCCCGATGGTCTCCTCGGCAGCAGCTGTCACTTGGTCGCAAATGTGGTGCCACAGGTCGCCCAC